CATGCGGGGACTCCTGGCGCCTCAGAACACCTTCCTGGACACCATCGCCACGCGCTTCGACGGCACGCGTGAGTCCGACCCTCGCCCCACTGGCTCCTGGACCAGCTGTCCCGGGCCAGGGTTCCCACCAGTCCTGCACCCCGACATCTCAGCCTGGCGACCTCCTGTTCTCACTCCCTTCCTTCCCCGCGCCCCGCTTTTAGCTGGGACCACCATTTCCTTCCAGACGCCGTTTCCCCGAAAGATTCAGAGTCCAGGCCGCCCCAGGCCAAGCAAAAATGGCTAGAACTCTCGGGTTTGGGGACTGGGCATGTCTGTTCGTGGGGGCGCGAACCCCAATCTAGTCAGTCTAACCCATCCCATACCAGTGTCTGGAACTGTCCCACGGACTACCCTCGATCTGGCGGTTTAAGGCATGGGGCAGGGAAGCGGTGTTCAGGGACCAGAAACTCAAAAAACAAATTTGGAAAAGAGGTTTGCAAACAGAGTAGGAGGGACTCAGGAGTTCAGGCTCACCTCACAGGCTAAACCCATGTCCAACTCTAAAAAGATAGATTGGGGGACTCCCACCAAGACTGGGGAAGTTTGGAGAAGTCGACCAGAGCTGATGAATCCTGGTTTCCCAGGGCTCTGAGCACTGGGAAAGTCGTGAAAGCCCCCTCCCTCATCCTCCTCCCTTACCCCCAGTGGGACTTCCCAGCTCCCTGCCTAGCATCCTCCCAGTCTGGTTCCTGATGGAAGGCAGGAGCCCATCCCTGAGCCCCCACCTCCTCAAGCTTCTCCATATGCTTTGCCTGCGCTTGGCTCCTGCAGCCTGCTGATTCAGCGTGCCCCCCCACCCCCCAACCAATACATTCCTGGCTCCATGCTGCCAGTGCTCAGCTACCATTCTTACACCCTCAGTATGGATCACACTCACTAATTCCTGAGCCAGGTCAGGTAACTGGGGCTCAGACAAAGTGCACAAGAGATGGTGGCCTGGACTGCCTCTCAGTTCAGGTGTGTCTCAGTGGGAGGAGCCAGACAGCCAACCTGGGTACCTGGCTGGTGAGTGAACCTGGCAGAGGCTGGGGTGGGACTAAGGCTAGCCTAGAGTCCTCCTTGGGGCTTCCCCAACCGCACCCCTTACCTGAAGCTGCTCAGGACATACTCCAGAGGGCACAGCACCCACACAGGGTTCACACATGCTGATTTTTGAATGTACTGTACACACAATGCTAGGAAGGGGCCCTTACAGGGCACTGACACACAGGTGGCATGCTAATTCCTGTTCATAAACAGTTCCTGTCCTTACCCTTCCCCCACTTCACCCCAAACACTCACACACAACATTCCTGGGATTTGTAACACCCACCCTTTGGTTGCAGGCATTTGGGAAAGGAGGGTTGGTAGAGTCCTTGCCCCTTCATCCCACACCTCCTCTGAGAGGTGCTGTCTTGCAGATAGTAACTTCGTGCTGGGCAACGCCCAGGTGGCGGGGCTCTTCCCCGTGGTCTACTGCTCTGATGGCTTCTGCGACCTCACGGGTTTCTCCCGGGCTGAGGTCATGCAGCGGGGCTGTGCCTGCTCCTTCCTCTATGGGCCAGACACCAGTGAGCTCGTCCGCCAACAGATCCGAAAGGCCCTGGATGAGCACAAGGAGTTCAAAGCTGAGCTGATCCTATACCGGAAGAGCGGTGAGGGGCCACCTGGCCGGCTGGCCCTACCTTTGGGGTCTCACCTAGCCTGGTACCCACCCCATCTACAGTCCCTCCTCTCCAGTCCCATCTTCTCCATCTCCCCATCTCATCCCATCTTCCCACTTTCCCTTCTCCTCTTCCTCTCATCTTGTTCCTGGTCCCTCCTTTTTTCTGTCCTCACCCCAATCTCAGCCAGCACTCAATTTCCCATCTTGGGTTTCCCACCCCAGTAGAAAAATGTCCCCTTCTGACCTAGCAGGACAGATCTATGAACACATGTCTGTCATCTCTGCTCTCCCTTGCCTTCCCTCACCCTGTTTGATCAAGCCTAAATTTCCTAAGTGGAGCTGGCTTGTGCCTTGACCAGGGGTGTCAATGGCCCTTGGGCACTGACAGAGAATGGGAACTGGGCTGAGTCTGTCCTTGTGCCCAGGGCTCCCGTTCTGGTGTCTCCTGGATGTGATACCCATAAAGAATGAGAAGGGGGAAGTGGCCCTCTTCCTAGTCTCTCACAAGGACATCAGTGATACCAAGAACCGAGGGGGCCCTGACAGCTGGAAGGAGAGAGGTGGGTGCCGTAGAGCTGCTGATTTGTTTGCTGTGGCTGGGGTGTTGCGTGCCTCGGGCCTGGGTGGGGCTGTGGCACCCAGTATGGGCTTGGGGGCCCCCCATCACACCTGCACTCACTGACTCCCGCTCTGCTGGGAGTCAGTGCCGAGAGACCTGTGCCGCTCCCATCTCCACATGTCCAGGTACAGAAAGCTTATTGAGACAAAGTTGGAGTTTTGAAGTCAACTTTACCAAGAAACCGAAGGCAGCAAACTCCACTAGTGCCCATGAAGTACCATTTTCTCACTAATTAGTGAGACTGAGCACAGACCCACCTGATTCCTTTTCCTCACACAAACCTTTCTGGAGAACCCTGGCCAAAGCCAGGGTTAAGTCCCTGGGGGTCTTTCCCCTCTTACATCCTCTTAGGGCTGGGGAAGACCTTTGGACACCTCACAAAACTGTCATCAGAAGCTGCTCCAAGGCCTCTTTGCTATTTGGGGATGCTGGGGGTACTCTCCATTCCCCATCCCCCACCCCCAGCCCTGGGGCAGCTGCTCTACAATGTACGTCTTCAGTGGCCACTGCACCTGCGTGGGCGCTAGGCTCCTTCTCGGAGCTCTCACAGCTCTGCCCAGTGGCCTCCTACTACCTCTGCACTTCCTCACCCCTGAGAACCACCTCCCTTCTCCCCTCTCAGGCCCTTCCCTATGGAGATCCTCTCCTGGCTTGCCTTGGTCCAAACCTCCTTCTCCTAGAAGCAGGCACTGGGGAGGAGTGTCTGTAAGCATCCACAGGACTGCCCATTGCTGGGGTTGGCAGGAGACTCTAGGAAGTGAGAAACGTTGGAGTTCCAGCTCTAAACAGACGAACTAGTCAATCAGCCAGTCTGTGGGCCAGGAACTGGTGTCCTACCCCCAAGCCCCTGGGCTGGGATGTGTGAGTGCCTCCCCAGTCACCCTCTCTGGCCGCTCTTTTGCAGGTGGTGGCCGGCGCCGATATGGCAGGGCAGGGGCCAAAGGCTTCAATGCCAACCGACGACGGAGTCGGGCTGTGCTCTACCACCTGTCTGGGCACCTGCAGAAGCAGCCCAAGGGGAAGCACAAGCTCAATAAGGTGGATTGCGTGCTAGGGTGTGTGTTTGGGGGGTGGGGCAGGGTTGGGGCAGGCTGAGGAGATGGAGGAGAAGAACTGAGCCCACCACAGAGAGACTGTCCAGGGGGCTACCCAGGTCCCACCAGCACTTTGGGGGATGTGACAAGAATGTCACGTGCCTGATCTAGCAAAGGTATAGAGGAGAATTTGGGCCCTGGAGTCTGGTGGGCCTTGGCTCAATCTTGGCTCCTCCCCTAAGCAGCTGTGTGACCTCAGCTAAGTCACTTAATCTCCCCGATCCTCAGTCTTCTGATCTATGACCAGGGGACTCTAATGCCTGTGTCAGAGGTTGTCTTGAGAATGTAGGGCCAGAGAGGAGGTGGATACCTGTCCCAGACCCTATCCACACTCAGCCTGTGCCAATTTCTTGTCCTCTCTGCCTGGATCTGCCCTGCCTCTCACTCAGGGGGTGTTTGGGGAAAAGCCAAATTTGCCAGAGTACAAAGTAGCCGCCATCCGGAAGTCACCTTTCATCCTGCTGCACTGTGGGGCGCTGAGGGCCACTTGGGACGGCTTCATCCTGCTTGCCACCCTCTATGTGGCCGTCACCGTGCCCTACAGCGTGTGCGTGAGCACAGCCCGGGAACCCAGCGCCGCCCGGAGTCCCCCCAGTGTCTGTGACCTGGCTGTGGAAGTCCTCTTCATTCTTGGTATGTGCGCTCTGTGCCTCCCACCCCACTCTGGGCCAAGGCCCCTGTGGGTAGTCTGCATGGCTTCTGCTGCCCCCAGTGTCCTCCTTGCCCTCCCTATTTATGACCCGTGGGCTTTGAAATGGGACCTCAGTTCCAAACATGTCTTTACCACGAATGGGTTATTTGACCCCAAGCCAGTCGTAGCCTCTCCAAGCCTGTTTCTCCCTTCATCAAATAAGTATAACAGTGCCCACCCTTTAGAGTTATGTGGAAACTAAGACGGTGCATGTAAAGGGCCCAGGACAGTGTCCTACTGAGCAGGTGCCCAGTAAAGTGTGGTTCCTCCCCAGCCCGTGCTGACTCCTGCCCTGACTTCCTGCAGACATTGTGCTGAATTTCCGCACCACGTTCGTGTCCAAGTCAGGCCAGGTGGTGTTTGCCCCAAAGTCCATTTGCCTCCACTACGTTACCACCTGGTTCCTGCTGGATGTCATTGCAGCGCTGCCCTTCGACCTGCTCCACGCCTTCAAGGTCAACGTGGTCAGTGTGGCCAGGCTGGGTGGCATTGGGGTAAGACAGGAGGGGCTGGCCCATGGGTGACCTCCCTGCCTCCGCCCACCTCAGTACGTCGGGGCGCACCTGCTGAAGACAGTGCGCCTGCTGCGCCTGCTGCGCCTGCTCCCGCGGCTGGACCGCTACTCCCAGTACAGCGCCGTGGTGCTGACCCTGCTCATGGCCGTGTTCGCCCTGCTCGCCCACTGGGTGGCCTGCATCTGGTTCTACATCGGCCAGCGGGAGATCGAGAGCAGCGCCTCCGAGCTGCCTGAGATTGGTACTGCAGGCTGTGTATGTGTGTACGGTGTGTGCATATGTGCCTAAGGAATCAGTCCACTCGAGTGTATGTGTCAGGGAGATGTGAGTCCAAGTGTGTGTCTGTCAGGGTATGTCTGTGAGCTGATATGAGGTGTCAAAGAGATGTGTGCAAGTCTGCATGTGAACGTGCTCATAGGTGTGTGTCAGGGATGTGTGTACAAGTAGGCATGTGTTTGTGAGGAGAATGTGGGGGCTGTTGCGTGTGTGTGCAGGTGGGAGTGTGACAGAGCCACCGCCTCAAGGCAGGCCTGCCCTCCAGCAGCTGGGCATTGTGGAGACAGCCTGATGGGCTGCCTGGAAGAGTCTAGTCACCCATCATGGCCTCCTCGTGGCCAAACTTCTGTTACATTCTTCAAGTCCCTGCCCAGCTGGGAACCCCGTCCCTCTCAAGAGACCTCTCCAGGGTTCCTTTGATGTCTGACACTTTCCCAGCATCCTTTTGGGAGCTCATCCCCCACCACCTTGGTTCCTAAGGCCCCTTCCCCACTCTTGTCACCTCTGGGCTGCATGTTTCTCAGTTGCTTCAGCTCTCCTCCAGCCTAAAATGCAGCCTTTCTCTGCGTCCCACCAGTATCTTCACTCTCCTTCATTTCACCTCCACTTCACAGCTCCTCCCTCTGCTTGCCTCCCACTCGCATCTTAATCCTGCCAGGAGGGCTTCCACCCCCACCTCTCCACCCAGCATGTCACCCTGCAGGTCAAACCCTCATCCCCTTGAAGGCCCTGTGGCACCTGACCCTGCCAACCACCTCTCTGCCCCGGCCCCTCCTAGAGCCCGGCTTTCCTCAGACCTCTCCCCCCACCTTGCTCTCCCTTGGCGGTTCCATTGGCGCCACTGTGTGAACATCTCAACTCCGTCCTCTCTCTGACTCCAAAAGATTCTCTTCCAACAGTGTCTAACTATCCATATCCTGCAGCTCCCAAACTGAATGTGCCTCCTTCCTCCCCATGCCCTCTGGCCCTCTGGCAACTTCCCAGTAACTGGCTTTAGCGCCCTGTTTCCAGTCAGTGTGCAAGAGGTCAACTGTTCAGATGGCCCCTCGTGACTGCCTGTTCCTTGGTGGGGTCACCAGGAGTCCAGGTTGGCCTTAGAAACGTGCTCTGGTCAGTTCCTGGGGACGAGCAGATGCCTGCGAATCCTCTCCCCTGCCAAGCCTGCGGAGACCAGTGTGCTGCCCAGAGGCCCATGGGGATAGTCCCCAAAGCTCCAGTTGCCGAGCACAGGAACCCGGACGTTCCAGGTAGTGTCAGCTCCTTGGCATCTGCCCTTCCCAGAGGGAGGCTGTGGTGGAGGCTCTGAAGTCAGATGGCCCCACAGTGAAGATGCTCAGAGGACTGGGCAATGGGTAATGGTGATGCAAAGCCCTGACCCCAAAGTGGGCGAGACACCAAACCCCCAAGTCAGCCTCCCGCCCCCAACAGGACCCAGATGCCCTGGGTCTTGTGTCCATGTGGCTCCTCTGTTCTGGCCACTTCATAGGGGCTGCTGAGCTGATGTGAAGAGCACTTTTGGCTCCCAGAGGGGCTCTGAGCTCCACTGAAGAGTGTGAGGCATGAAGGTGGCTGACTGTTTGCAGACACACACCTTTGATCCCTAAGTTCCAGAAGGGTTTTCTATTTGGGGGTAGTACTAGTTCACATTAGGGGAGTTTCCGAGTCCTTCACATCATTGTCTGCCCCCTCCTTCTCCAGGGAAACTACCCGCCACTGAGTTGGAGCCACACCCAACCTCCCAAGGTCCAGCCCTGGGAGGGATGTCTGTGGAGGACAGGGGTGCCCCTTGCTGGCCCAGCTCTCTCTGGTGGGAGGTGCCTTCCCATGGCTTCCTTGACTTGGTTCTGCTGCTTCACTGCTCCTGGTGTAGATAGAATTCCTGCCCCAGAATCCCATTAGCCCAGTGAAGAGTAGTTAGATTTTCAAAAGATTGTGCTAAACACTGAGGGAAGTCACCCAGCACATTTCTTGGTGTGAAAACCACCAGCCTCCAGAGCAGCCTCTGCTGCCGACCCTCCCCATGAGACGTGCTGTCCCACCACCAGCCCCAGGGGCTACTGACGCCCCACTACCAAGACTGAGTGAGGGGGGGCCCCTCTGCACCTTCCCCTCATCCTCCTCCTACCCCTGCCCCACCCCACTCGGCGACTGGCTTCACCTCAGGGGCCTAACTAAATGATGAAAGATTTTTTGCACTTCCTTGCATTCTCACAGCATACATCAAACAGCAGGAGGGTGAATCCTCACCTTGGCTCAGGGCTTAACATGTTCCCCCTGATACCTTAGCCTGGAGTTTGATCCCCCCGTGTGGACCCCACATTCTGGCTAAGCTGAGCTCCTCACCAGAACTTGTCTCCAGCCCTAGGTGTGGCCCATGCCTTTCTTGAGATCAGGAACGGCCCCCCTCTCAGATTCTTTGTATCAATAATCTACCCATCCTCTGAGACTGAGCACCCACGTCCCCTCTTCCAGGAAGCCATCTGGATATAGCCCATAGCATGTAGGTTTGAGCCCCGTCCTGGCGTGCTATGTACCTCTGAGACTCCTGCCTTGCAGTAAGCTTCTGGGGGTGCCCCAGCTCCTGGCACACGTGCATGAGGTTGCTGAATGAATGGGTGGGTGGGAATCACAGGGAGCAGCGTGTGTGTGGTGTTGGGGTGAGTGTGAAGTAGGGGGCTGTGGAGTGGGGAGGAGCAGCGCATATGTGGAGAGGTGGGTCTCACTGCAGCTTGTGATCCTGAGCCCACCCTCTGCCCTTACCCTCTGGGCCTCTGTTCTAGGTCTGCCCTCCCTCCTTTGCTCCCCATGGCCCCCAGCTCTGCCAGGACCCCTGGTACCTCTGTGGACCCTGGGAGCTCCCGTCGAACACCCTAGAATCCCCACAACCCTCCAGCTCGGCTGAGTGACTTTAGGCAACCATAGGCTCCTGAGAGTCCCCAGTACACAGCCCTACCTCCTCCAAGGCCAGGCCTGAGAATCTGGGATTGCTGGGGAGACTGGGGCGATCTTCAGCCTCTGCCTGGTGGTGTCCCAGGCTGGCCTGTGTCTGCGTGTGTGCTCAAGAGCCTCTGTGTGCACGGTGGTCTGTCTGTGGCCTTTGTGTGCTCACATCCACGTAGGTGTATCCCTCTCCTATCTGGGTGTCAGCGTGCAAGCATCTGTGCACCCTTGTCTCTCTCCCAAGTGTACACAGGATTTTTTTGTGTGAGTGGCCACAACTGTACTCCTGTGAATGTGCTCACACATGTGTGCCCTCATCCTCAACTGTGTGGAGCACGTCTGTAGCCTTAATGGTGTGTATGCGTGTGTGCACATCAGTGTGCTTGAGGACACGGACATGAGGTTGGGTGGTGTGTGTGGTTGTGGGGAGGGATGAGGCTGAATGGGGGGTGGCCTTCTGGAGCAGGGGAGCTCAGAGAAAGAGCAAGACGAGTCTGGGTGGACAGGGCAGAGGCGCTGGCCCTGGGGACAAGGCCGTGGCTGGTACAGTGAGCCCTCCAGTCCCTCTGCCCACTCCAGCTGGGCCACCTGCCTGGGATTAGTGCCGGGGGAGGAGGGCACAGTGCTCCTCACTCCATCCTCGGCACCCAGAGGCACCATCTGGGGAGATAACAGTCTCATCCTCATGTGCTTGTCTCGGTGAGGACTGAGGGGGTGCACGGGTGTGGGCAGGGCTGGCAGAGGAGGGATGTGGCCAGAAGCCATGGAGGGTGGATTTGCAGCCACATGTCCCCCACCCCGGGGGACCAGCAGGCACCCTGCCCCGGCAGTGCAGCAGTGTTGTCCTGCCCCCTCCCCAGGCTGGCTGCAGGAGCTGGCCCGCCGACTGGAGACCCCCTACTACCTGGTGGCCCGGAGCCCGGCTGTAGGGAACAGCTCTGGCCAGAGTGACAACTGTAGCAGCAGTGGCAGCGAGGCCAACAGGACGGGTCCGGAGCTCCTGGGCGGCCCCTCACTACGCAGCGCCTACATCACCTCCCTCTACTTCGCACTCAGCAGCCTCACCAGCGTGGGCTTTGGCAACGTGTCCGCCAACACGGACACGGAGAAGATCTTCTCCATCTGCACCATGCTCATCGGCGGTGAGGCCTGCCCCTCTCCCAGTACAGGACGCAGTCTCAGACTGATGGCTCCGGGCGGCTCTTCCCTCCCCACCTCCCCCAGGGTCCAGAGGTCCTCGCCAGGGGGCCCAAGGAGCACGAGGCCAGGGCCAGGAGAGCCCACTTGGCCGCAGACTCCACCTCACACAGAGCCGTGGGCCTGGCCTAGCGTGGGAGGGTGGGGGTGGGGAGAACAGATGTGTTCCTCACTGTGTCAGGCCGGGCCAGGCTGGTCCTGGAGGTGACCCCTGTCGCCACCCTCCCCAGCCCTGATGCACGCGGTGGTGTTTGGGAACGTGACGGCCATCATCCAGCGCATGTACGCCCGCCGCTTTCTGTACCACAGCCGCACCCGCGACCTGCGCGACTACATCCGCATCCACCGCATCCCCAAGCCCCTCAAGCAGCGCATGCTCGAGTACTTCCAGGCGACCTGGGCTGTGAACAACGGTATCGACACCACCGAGGTGCGCAGGCCTCCAGGGCCGGCCCGTCCGGCCTTTGCTCCTTCAAGGAATGTGTGCTCGGCCTAACATTCCCAGGAGTGGGCTGGAGGGCAAGGGATGCAGAATTCTGACCTCCCTACCTCCGTCTCTCCTGGGGGAGACAGCAGCATGGAACCAAGGGCAGCCAAGGCAGCTTGGAGGCCCCTCTCCACCCTTGTTAGGTCTGGAGACCCTGTTCACTGACCTCCAAGAGGAGGAAAACTGGGCTGCTCACAGCGGAAGGGGGTGGTAAAGTGATTGAGAGGGAGGCAGAGACAGCCCCCCTCACTGATTGGACCGAGTGTGGAGCTGGATGCTGTGCACCGGGCCTTGAGGTACCAGCCTGGCGGGAAGCTGCCTCCCTTTCTCCACCCTAACCTTCCCCACCTGTTCCCACCTGTAGCTGCTGTAGGGCCGCCTAGATGAGTCTCTCGCGAGAACGGGAGGCACGCGGTTCCCTCCCTTTCTCCACCCTAACCTTCCCCACCTGCTCCCACTGCAGCTGCTGCAGAGCCTCCCAGACGAGCTCCGTGCAGACATTGCCATGCACCTACACAAGGAGGTCCTGCAGCTGCCCCTGTTCGAGGCGGCGAGCCGCGGCTGCCTGCGGGCGCTGTCCCTGGCCCTGCGGCCCGCCTTCTGCACGCCTGGCGAGTACCTCATCCACCAGGGGGACGCCCTCCAGGCCCTCTACTTCGTCTGCTCCGGCTCCATGGAGGTGCTCAAGGGCGGCACAGTGCTCGCCATCCTAGGTTTGTGAGAGTGGGACAGAGGACTCGGGGCCTTGCAGGAGGTGGGTGGGACCATGGCCCCATCTGCAGAAAACACAGAGAGCCGATGCAGGCAAGGCCACCAGGGAGAAAAGCTGGGGTGGAGTCAGGAGTAGCCATTGAGCTCTGGGCACAGATCAGAGCGGACCCAGTGGCCACAAGCCGGCAACACAAGGAGGTAGACTCTATGTCATGGGTGTTGGAGGCCAGAGTGAGTGAAGGACCAGCCTTTTGTCTGTGAGAGGACAGAGCCGCACTCTGTCAAGGAGGAAAATCTAACACTGAGAGTGGAAAGTGTTCTGGCAGGAAAAAGGGAGGCACGACCGCCATCTTTGTTCCCTCTCCCCCACACCGCCAGGCCCGGGGGTGGGGTGGGGGGAGGAGATGTTGCTTTCCTAGGGCAGGTTACAGAGCAAGCCCAGGGCCACTGCACTGTGGGTGTCGGCAGAGCTCAAACTCCAAATACACTTAGCTTCTTGGCAAAAGAAAGAGAGGTGAAGATGAGGGGTCAGTTCTCTAGACGAGGAAGAAGAGATTGCAGCTGTGGAATGGCCAGATAAAAGTGCTGGTGGCCCCAGGGGTGAAGCAGCGGGGTCAGCCACGTGTCCAGGCCGCCCCCCCATGCTTCATCTCACACAAACCTCAAAAAGCCCAGCAGGGAGGAACTACTGCTATTCCCGTTTTGTGGAGAAGGAGCCTGAGGCTCCAAGAGGTTAATGAAGGGGCAGACTGGGGTGTTAGAACCTAGTCTGCCAAATCTAAACCTCAGGCTTCTTACACTGTGCTCTCAGGCACTCGGCTCTGGGGAGACTCATCCTGCAAAAAGTATGCGGTTTCAAGGTAGTGGGCAACTCAGGGCTGTGGGAGGCTCTCAGCAGGGACCCCAGAGTGGGGTCTGTGATCTGCTTGGGTGATGGAGAGCCTCACACATCTGGTGGGAGGGAGGTGGCACCCGAACCACAGCTGGATCCTCAGGCAGCCTGCATTGTAGACTCCCTGTAGGGGCAGCTGACGCCGGAGGGGCTGAAGTTTGTCACTAACCTGGAGAACTAGGAAGACCACATGCCCAGCTGCAATGGTGTGCCCGTCCTCCCTCCTTTGAGAAGGATGGTCTTCCAACAGGGAACAGGGGAAAGAAATACCACCAAGGAGCTCTGGGAGCTGAGAGGCATCGTTCATGAGTTTGGCTTCTGGTCCTAGATGCCAGGTCTCTGAGCAAACGGAGTTAAGTCCACTCACGTATGGCTGGCAATCCTTGAGAAATTAGGGGGAACTGGAGAGATTCAGAAGGGCAAAAGGCAGATTTCAACAGTTGCAGACCAGTCACTCCAAAGCAAGATTGTCAAGCGGATTATTAAACAGATGGTTTTCAGCTTGGAGCCTAGGAAGCAGTGTGGCTGGGAGCTGGCATGAGTCCTGCAAGAATGTCTCTTCACTGATACCAGGCACCAGGTCTCAGAACAGCCATGCTCAGTATTAAGAGATCCTCAAGGATGGCCACTGCCTGACCCTGGCCTTTGCCTCCAGGATTCCCCAGCACTGGGACTTACGCCACCTTCGGTCCATCCTGTCCCTGCCCATCTGTTCCAGATGAACTGTTTCCTCTGTTGGCTTGGCCGCTCTGGATGCCCCAGTGGATGCCTGGTTCCCCAACCCTCATCATGGCCTGGTTTTCTGCTTTGCCTTCACCCCACCCCGACCTGCCTCCTTAGTTGAATATCCAGGTACTTTCTGCCTGCTCCTGGCAGCTCAGACTCATGGCACATCTAGCAGAATCAGTTCTGGCCCCACCTCTGTGTGTGAACTAACAGCTAAGTGTGTGCAGAGTCAATTGTGGGTGAGGAAGGAGGCAAGATGAAGAGAGGTGAGCCGCACAACGGTGCAAGGAGGACCTTTTGGGGCTTGATAAGCTGGGCTGGAGGCTCTGGCTGAGATACAGCCTGGAGGGCAGTCTCTGGTCCCTGAGACCAGTGGCACAGAACTCGGTCCTTGGTCCTGCCCTATTTCTCGTTTTTGTCTCTTCTTGGATGAAGACAAGAAATACATACTTATTCTACTTCCAGATGACACACATGAGGAGAGAAAGCTCATTCATCAGATGATCACATCGAGATCCCAACAGCTCTCGAAAGGAACCAGAAGGATGGCCAGAAACCAAGAAAACAAGATTTAACAACGATGTTTTCTACACTTAAGTTTGAGCAAAAGTCCATGAACATTTATTTTTATTTTTTTATTTTTTATTTTTTCATGAACATTTAGAGGAGGCCTTTAAGCTGAGTGCATTCTGCTGGCAGCGTGAGGCAGCCCACAGCGGGGGTGGCAGTGAGCCATCTTTTTCCTTAAGGATAAGGAAACACTGTCTGATCTTGTGAAATGTCTGGCCGTGGGTTGAGCTGCCTTGTGCGGGCCGAGATTGCTGCGCCCAAGTCCAGGCGTGCTATCCCTGTTGGGAATGATCTGTAAGGAACAGTTGTTGGGCGGGGAGGGAAGGACATGAACTTTGATTGGTCATCTGTGTGTCAGGCACTTTATCAACACTAACTCATTTAATCCGCACCGTGTCCCTGAGCAGAGACACCCTCTTTCATTGATTCTAAGTCACACATTTTTTTCCCCACAATTTAACATCTCTGAGGCTGGGATGCGGACTCTAATTGGTGCCATTTTACAATCGCTGTCAGCCAGGTGGCAGTCTCAGCCTGGTGGTGGGAAAACCCTCCATTGACACCTTCTAGTGAGATCAAGAAAGCACCACAGACTCAGTTCAGTATAGGATCTCTCGTATAGACGAGGCACCAGGGCTCAGGGAAGTGAAATAACGTGACTCCTGCCATTTTCACTGTGCCACAGGCGGCGCTAACCTGATAGATTCACATACTGGTCCCTGGACAAGCTCCACTGAATCACCCATGGGGCGTGAAAAACAACTGTAGGGTCTCCAGTAGAGATTGTGATTCTTTAGGTGGTGATGGGGCCTGGGAGTCTGATTGGTTTAACTTTCCCAGGGGCTTCTGTTCCATGGGCAACCTGGGAGCCACCAGAGTGGGTGTCTCAGACCTAATATTCTGATGTGTTTCAATGCAGTGTTTGGTCCCAGATGTGCCTGAGCACCTGGGTCATGGGGCTCTTCACCCCCAGCCCATCTGAGGAGCCAGTGAAGCAGGCAGCAGGGGTCCAGGGCCCGGGCCCCTCTGCTCCTCCCTGTCCTGGCTGGAAAGGTCGCACTTGACACCCTCTTTGGTGGCTGAGGGGCAGGCTTGCTGACCTCTGCTTCCTCTCCCCAGGGAAGGGCGATCTAATCGGCTGTGAGCTGCCCCGGCGCGAGCAGGTGGTCAAGGCCAATGCCGATGTGAAGGGGCTGACATACTGTGTCCTGCAGTGTCTGCAGCTGGCCGGATTGCACGAGAGCCTCGCACTGTACCCTGAGTTTGCCCCGCGCTTCAGCAGGGGCCTCCGGGGGGAGCTCAGCTACAACCTGGGTGCTGGTGGAGGCCCCGCAGAGGTGAGGGTGCTGGGTATGTGCATGGAGGGGGCTAGGGTGCCAGGGAGCCTGGTGACGGGGGCAGAGGCGGAGTTTGTGGAGGTGCTGTGGGAGCACATGGCCTAGTGTGAATACTCCCACATGTGGTGGGGGGCGGGTGGTCTATACTCTCCTGCCCCTTCGCACTCACACTCTCCCTCAGAGCCCAGCCCTGCTCAGCTCGGCCACCATTCCTAGCTCTCCCCGGCCCGTCTGAGACAGACTGGCCGAATCCACTGGTACCAGACAAGGAGACTGTAAGGTCACAGATGAGGGATGGTTCCCAGGGGTCGGGGCCAGGCAGCGCTGTGCCCTAGACCTCCAGGCTGTCTCTGAAGAGAGCCCTGCAGTGCCCCCTGCTGCTTCACAGTGGAACAGGGCTGCTTTGAGGGGCTTTTGAATTTTCCTGCCTTATGTCACTTATTCCAAACCAGGTTTTAGTACTGAGTCCTCTTGGATAGTTCAGTTAGCCTGAGGGACCAAGAAGAGGGCTGGTGTGTCCACACTTGGCTAGGATTTTGAGGGGTGGCGAATGCCTCCAAGCTTTGTGGCTTTATGGTGGCAGCAGAAAATCACTCCCCTCTCCTGCTGAGTCTCTTCCTCTGTAGGTAGGAGACACCAGGTATCCTGTGTAACAAAAACAGCTCCTCCTTTCTAGGGTGATGAGACCATGGGGGGAGGTGAGTAGGACATAGAGGGGATATTCATCCCAGTTCTCTGTCCCCCACTATCCTCAGGTGGACACTAGCTCGCTGAGTGGCGACAACACCCTCATGTCCACACTGGAGGAGAAGGAGACAGATGGGGAGCAGGGCCCCACAGCCTCACCAGCCCCAGCTGATGAGCCCTCCAGCCCCCTACTGTCCCCCAGCTGCACCTCCTCATCCTCAGCCGCCAAGCTGCTATCCCCGCGTCGAACCGCACCCCGGCCCCGGCTCGGTGGCAGAGGGCGGCCAGGCAGGGCAGGGGCTTCGCAGGCTGAGGCTGGCCCCTCTGCTCACCCTCGGAGCTTAGAGGGGCTGCGGCTGCCCCATGTGCCATGGAATGTGCCCCCGGATCTGAGCCCCAGGTGAGTGAGCTCTGGGCCACTCAACTCTGGCAGAGATATGATGAAAGGGCTGGGGCCCCGGCCAGGCACACCCCTGCCCCAGATGCCCATCCTTCCATCCTAACCCCTCCCAGCTTCTTCCAGGAAGCCTTCCTTGACTCCTCCACCTCCCTGCTGCCCCAACTCCATTCAGTGCATGACCATGCCCTGCTGAGAACTCTCTTGCTGTTTCACGTCGCGCAAGTTTCAATCCCTAGTGAAACTGGAAACTCCTGGGGAAGGGACCACATGTTATCTCCCTTGGGGCGCTAAGCCCTGGCCCAGCTCCAGGCTCCTGCAGCTTCTGTGGGCAGTGGGGCACCTTGTCCCGTGAAACACTGCAGTGGTCATCTGTCGACTGACTAGTTGCCCTGCCGCCTGCATCCACAGGGTAGTAGATGGCATTGAGGATGGCTGTGGCTCCGACCAACCCAAGTTCTCTTTCCGTGTGAGGCAGTCTGGCCCAGAATGTAGCAGCAGCCCCTCTCCTGGACCAGGTACTGGGACCCGGGTCTGGGGGAGGTCAGCAAGGCAGTCCCTTTGCCCTGTGAGCCTCTGAGAAACCAGCAGGGTACAGACTTTGGATGCTCTCTTGCCCTCACCCGCCTGCATGGTTTGGGCAGGGGAGTTTCGTGGTTAAGACTAGCACCTTAGCGTTGGAAGGCAGCTGGAATGGAGTTTGGTTCTCCGCTTCCAGCTCTCTAGCTGCATGACCTTGGTTCTCACCCCAGTTTCTCGGTTGTAAAAAGGTGGTTGTGCGCGTGAAATGAGATAATGTTGCTATGACCCTTAGCACAATGCCTGGTTCACTAGGAGGATACAGGGCTAGGGATGCAGAATTCAAAGTGGCCCCTGGGCAGGCCGGGCTGCCCTGGGAGTGGACCTGGTAATGAGCTCCCAGAAGTGTCCACTTGCCTGGGGGACAGAGCAGGAGACTGGCACAAAAGCAGCCTCCTGACGGGGAAGCGCCGGGCAGTGTGCCTGAGGCCCCCTGGTGGTTTGTACAGAATTCAGCAACTCAAGGCGAGGATATTAAGTGGCTGTTCCTGGCAGTAGGCTCTGCCAGGTGGCTCTGGTCTGTGCTAACTGGGCAGAGGCCTGGACCCCACGCTGTCTTCATTTACCAGCCCCAGCTGGTAACCCCATCCTACTTTACAGAGAACAGCCTGCTCACTGTCCCCCTTGGGCCCAGCGAGGTGAGGAACACAGACACGCTGGACAAGCTTCGGCAGGCGGTGGGTGAAGGGCAAAGTGGAGGCAGGGTGGGGGGCCCTGCAGTTGTGAGGCCCCGACTCCACTCTGACCGCTCCCACCCTCCCCCCAGGTGACAGAGCTGTCTGAGCAGGTGCTGCAGATGCGGGAGGGGCTGCAGTCCCTTCGCCAGGCAGTGCAGCTGGTCCTGGCGCCCCATGGGGAGGGCCCGTGTCCTCAGGCGTCGGGAGAGGGGCCTTTCCCGGCTGGTGCCTCTGGGCTCCTGCAGCCTCTGTGTGTGGACACTGGGACATCGTCCTACTGCCTACAGCCCCCGGCTGGCTCTGTCTTGAGTGGGACCTGGCCCCACCCTCGTCCAGGGCCACCTCCTCTTGTGGCACCCTGGCCCTGGGGCCCCCCAGCATCGCAGAGCTCCCCCTGGCCTCGAGCCACAGCTTTTGGACCTCCACCTCTGACTCGGAGCCCCCAGGCTCAGGAGAACTATGCCCCGAGCCCAGCACCCCTGGCTCACCGCCTCCTGAGGAAGGGACTAGGACTGGGCCCCCAGAGCCTGTGAACCAGGCTGAGGCTGCCAGCACTGGAGAGCCCCCACCAGGGTCAGGGGGCCTAGCCTTGCCATGGGAACCCCATAGCCTGGAGATGGTGCTTATTGGCTGCCATGGCTCTGGCACAGTCCAGTGGACCCAGGAAGAAGGCACAGGAGTCTGACCTCTAGCTACAGAACTCAGTGTTGCCAGACATGCTGCCATCTGCTGCTCTGCCCAACCTCGGGGTGGAGGAAAGGTGGCAGCCACCCTCCAGGACTCCATGCTGCCCGCTGGCTCTGGGCAGGGAGCCCAAGAGCAAAGCTGGGCTCTCAGAGGGTGGGCTGGAATTTCAGGGGCAGGCCCCAGGCTAGGAATCTTTGGGTTCCTTCTCCTGGGGCCCTTCCTTACCTCAGTCTGCTCCTCTGACTGCCTCATCTCCCTCTGCAGGCTGGGGGACAGAGGCCTGAGGCCAAAGAGGGGGTTCTGCCATCCCCTGCATGTGCCCCTGCCTTACCTGTCCCCCCGTTTTTTATATTACAAAAATAAACTACTTTGGAACTCAGTGCTTTTTATTTACAAAAGAAAAATAAAGAGTCTGAAGCTAATCAGCTGGAGACACCGGTGAAGGTGGGACTCTGAGGGAAGCGGGGAGGGTGGTCTGCAGAGTGAGAAGGGGAGGGGCTGTGGCACTCAGGAAGCCGGAAAGTCCCAGCCTCTAGGGGGCTTCCTGAGGGCCAGCCCTGCCCTCCCGCAGAGGCTCAGATCAATGGGCCAGGAGCTGAGTCCCCCAACGCCCACTCTGGTTTTTCCAGGAACCTGAGTTCCCAGCTCCAAGGGGCTGGGATGGCAGGGAAAACAGGCCAGAGAGAGCCCATGGGTCCTGCCACCACTCCTCACTGTGGTGTGATCTTGGCAGCCTCGGCCCGAATAAGGGCAATGAGGTCCTGGTTGATGAGGAAGACAAATCGCAGGCTGGCAATCTGTGGGCAGGGGAGAAGTGCGGCTGAGGACGGAGGTGAGACTGGGGGTGAGGTCCACATGCTGGCTCAGCCCACCCTGGGCTCATCTGGCCTCTCTACCTCCCTCCCAGCTCACCTCCACCACGGAGTTGTTACTGAGACGCCATTTGGAGCCACACAGCACGGGCCGTCCGTCGATGTAGATGGGCCGCCGGCCCTCATTGGCAATAAAGAAATCACCGTTGTTCTTCAGTTTGATGACACCTATGGAAATGGAGAGGAAAGGGGCTATGATGGGATGGGGGAAGGCCAGAAGAGGACCTGAAAACACATATCCTCTGATTCCTGAAGACAGGCGTCCTGGGTGCCTTCTAGCCCAAGTTAGAGATCTTGAAATGCCAGCTCCTCAGCCCCAGCTGGTACCTGAGGTGCCCATGGAGACCGAGCCCCAGGGCTGGAGGGCAGTGAGAGGCTGGGTGGGATATCCTCACACTGCTTCCCACTGGTACCTTGTTTCCGGGAGATCTTCCAGGCTGGCCCCTCCAGAGACAGGTCCACGTCAATCTGGTTATCCTTGGTTGCTCTGCCCAGGGTAATCTAGGGAAATGGGGCAAGTGAGGGCTGGGAGCTAAGGAATGGGGGCGGGGTCCACACAGGCCAGCGAAAGATGAGAAATCAGGGACCAGACAGGGCAGTGAGGGGAAGATGAACAGAGAAGGGGACCCTAGGAAGGGGGTGGTGGTAGGGATGGGGAGGGTTGGGGAGGGATAGGGCAGGCTGGGCTGGCCTCACCTCTCGCGAGCGCATCAGGTATCGCACCATGCGGCCCCGCAGCACTGCCAGGGTCTGGTTGTCGAAGTCCGGGGAGCTCATGCCTGGAGGACAGCGGTTCATGTCAGGGATGAGCCCACTCCTGAGGGCCACAGCATTGAAGGCAGAGAGCCAGGGCAAGATCTACTGACGGAAATGAGCCAGGGGTCTGGGAAACGAGTGTGAACCTAGCCAAGCCACCACAGGGACTCAGAGTGGGGCGAAGGGAGTTGAAGCCCAACCCTCCTGGTCCCCTCGCCTCCTCACCTGTGATGCTATCTACTAGCACCTGCCACTTGTGCAGTTCCTGTTCCAGCTGCCGAATCTCTCGTTTCTGGCGCCGGTCAGCCACTGTCAGCTCTGGGGTGAAGTAGGGTGGTAAGGAGGGACACTTTGAGGTCACCAGCACCTTGTACTATTCCTCTCTGTTCCAGCAGGAGCTTCCACCCCCTCACTGTCCCCACCAGGGCACACTCACCATGTTCTAGGACTTCATCTCGCATGTCCCTGAGGGGTAAGAAGAGAAGGATGAATCAGGCTCCACTTCTAGGTCACCTGTGATCACCATTAGATGCCACTTGGCTCACTAGAGCATCCCTCAGCCCCTCAGCCCAGTGGCCCTGTGGGCTGTTCCTGTGGCCTCAGTTTAGCCTCCCTCCCTGGGGTTGGGGTGGGGGATACAGTATGATGGGGCGGGCGGGTGGCACTGAGCAGGGAGACCAGGCAGCAATGGCTCCAACTGGGGCTCCAGGGCAAGTCTAGGCTAGGCTCCATTCTCTGCAGCAAGAGAGGCAGGGCTGGGAAGCCTGGGGAGCTCTGTCCCTGGGAGACACTCAGCTCTCTGTGCCCTACCCGTGGCCCCAGGCACTCACTTGAGCTTACTGTCATCAATCAAGTCCTCTGCGTCAGAGAAATTCAGCACTTGGTCCCCCTTGGGCAGTGGCTGCACTGAACGAAGGATGGAGGGAGGATCAGCACCAATGTTCCCACTCAACCCCAAGCTGCTGAGCAGACAACTGAACTAAGAGGACAAACTGTAAAGACAGTCCGTGAGAAGAGTCTTCTGCTGAAATCAACAAGATTAACCTGACACAGGTAACGGAGTAACACTTTGGCAAAAAGCATGCCTGAGGTTAGCCCAGGGCAGAGGGGGTTCTAGAAAGGGAAGGAAATTAAAGCTGACCTTTTGCATGGTCTTTTCAGTGTGTGAAGAGCTCTCACTTACAAAGCATTGAACCAAGTAGGGAAGGCGCTACTAGTAGCTGCATGCTACAGACGAGGAAACAGATAACAGGAGGGAGGGTTAAGCTATGTAACTCTAGGGCAGAGCCAGGAATCAAGCCCTGCTTTCCTGATTCCAAATCCAAACTGCTCTTTCTACCACATCATACTCTCCCAGGCATTTTCTGCCATATCTGGTGAGGGGCTGAGAGCACATGCTGGTCAAGTCCCACTTGAGATGCATCAGAAGGGAGCTGTCCCGCCTCAGGCAGTGTTTTCAAACTGTGGGTCATGACATGTTAATGGGTCATGACATGTTAATGGGTCAAGGAATTCATTTTTTTTCTACACACACACACAAATAATATCAGAATCCATCAGATACATTCAGTATAAATATTGTCTCATGAAAGTTTCTCCATTATTTTCTAATCAAAATGTAAAAGGGATTGGGGTCCCCAAACTTTGAGGACTTCTGCCTTAAGGTGAGCTGTCCCCAGGACTGCAGTGTCTGCTCAGGAGCAGTTCCCATTAGCGAGTGGGACTGCTGGCTGAGGAGTCTGACACCACCCGAGGTGTCATCACTGTCTGCCAGGGAAGCATGGGGGCTGCCCAAGAGCCACAAACACTCCACCTCCACCCCTGCCTGCTCAGGTCCGACCATGTGGGAGTTGGAGGTTGCGGCAGTCTCCCCACCAGGGTCTGGAATCCCACCACCTGACAGTCAACTGACTTGCCAGGTAAGCAGTGTGTACTCCCTGTCCCAGGGACTCCCAGCATGAAACGGCCAAGGAGAAATCAAACACCCACATAAGATAACACTCAAGAGAAAAAAAAATCAAACCTTTAAGTTAACAAATAAAGTTACACAAAATAACTTTCAAAATAGTGACAGAGGAGTTAGCTGTAGCAGCAAAAACCACCTTTCTCCAGGGTTTGTTCTCTCTGTAGGAGTTCAGTGATATCTGAGCCTGAGGAAGCAGCAGAGATCTGGAAGCTGCAGGAATAAAGAGGGTTGCCCACTGGCACTAAATTCAGAGACCTTCAGGAAGGAAAGATGGGGCCTCCGCCGACCAGATTTCCTAAAATCCTCCTGTAGGAATATTGTTTATTAACCAGAAGCTGCAGGACCAGGGAGTAAGGTAAAGGGCAGAACTGAAGCTTCAAATTCAGAATAGTGCAAACAACTATGCAGTAGGCAACAGGAAGTATTTAGGAAGTAAGATTAACGTGTGCTTGTACCATGTAAGTCTGACCCTGAGTCTCAAATCTAACTGAAGAGTTTCCTGCAGTTTAATCAGACTACTTTCCTAGTATCTGTTATTAGGAGAGTGAGAGTTTTGATGGTGAGGGGAGAGAGGCAGCAGAGAGCATTCTGGCCCCTGGGGAAGGAGAAAGACAAGTGGACTGGGTGTAGAGTCCCTGCGGGGATTTCTGAATGGCCTGAAGGCAGCCTCACAGCAGACTGCTTGGTCAGAAGGGATTCAGAGACAGGGAGATAGGGAGACAGGGAAGGGACAGGAAGGCTTAGAGAAAGTAGTCCTTATCTCTAGAGTGGGAAAGGAAGAGCAAGCAGTGAAAAGGACTTTCACATTTTACTCACGTTTGAATGTTATGCATGAAGAATATATCAATGTATTATTTATGTAATGGTAAAACGCATCAAAAAAACAAAAAAGAAATCAAGAATTGGGAGACAACTCTGCCATTTAGACTTTTTGTTTAGGATTCTAGGCAATTTTGGCTACCATGATGCTGAAGACTGTTCCAGCCACTTTCCTTCCCTCTGGAAGGAAATGGCTTTTGCTGCAAAGAGAGTGAACAAGACACTGGGGACCAGTGAGGGATGTGTTACAGGACACCTGAGGGCAGCTGTGCCCAGATGCCTTCACACTCACACATGCACCCCCCCACTCTGCCAGCTCCAGGGCCCAGTTACCTGTCTGGTCCTCCAGCAGGTAATACTGCTTCATGAGCTGCCAGTGGGCCTGCAGAGCCTTGGCAGTACGGGCCAGGTAGAAGGCATCGGGGTGTCTGTGTAGCAGGTCCTGGAAGGTCTCCAAGGTGGGCTGGCTGGTCTGGAGGGCAAGAAGCATGCTCTGGGTGTCCGGGTTTCCTCGCTCATGCCTCTGCCCCACCATCCGTGGCCCCTCCCCAGCCCCCAGTAGGAGCCAGGAGAAGTGACAGCTTTGGCTGCCCAGGGAGCCAGGCTTGGCTCTCCTTCAGGACCCCATCCACAAAGGCTCTGCAGTTGTACATGCGTCTGTAGGGTGCGTTTCCAGTCAGTAGAACCTCCCTCAGTTTTCCAGGTGGGCGGGCTCCTGCCCAGGCTCCAGCCCCACCCCGCCCCTCAGCCTTCCCAGCCTTCAGCCTTACCGATCCCACTTTGCTCAGCAGCTGCTCCTCAGCCTTGCTAAACAGGGCCTTGCTCTGGATGGCAGCAATGGCCTCTGGGTGCAGCTGTCTCATGGCCTGGCAGGCCAGCCTGGGTTGAGAGGGAGACAGAGAGCAGGGTAGGGTTGAAGGGAGGGTGTCAAGCAATCTGAGGTTCCTACTTCCCCAAAGCCT